GCTGTCAGTTTCCACATATGACCTTTATTATTGAGCCAAGTTTCTTCCTTACCTGCTTTGTTGAATTCTGTTAAGTGCTTTTTAGATGATCAATTGATTTGTATCCTTTGCTTCATTAATGTGGTGTATCATGCTAATTGATTTTCACACATTGAATCATTCTTGCATCACTGGAATAAATCCTACTTGATCATGGTGTATTATCCTTTCAGTGCATTTTAAATTCAGTTTGTTTAATATTATGTTGAGGATTTTTCCATCTTTGTTCATCAGGGATATTGGTCTGTGATTTTCTTTTCTTGGAGTGTCATTGTCTAGATTTGGTATCAGGTAATGCTGGCCTCATTAAATGAATTTGGAAACATTCTTTTGTCTCAAATTTTTGAAAAAATTGACGATAGATATTAAGTCTTCTTTAAATATCTGGTAGAACTCAACTGTACTAGACTTTGGGTTTTAGCAAGTTCTTAAATTACTAATTGAATGGCTTTAAATATTTGGCAGAACTCAACTGGTAGTGGACATTTGGTTTTGAGGAGTTCTTAAATTACTAATTCAATTTCATTAGTTGTAATCAATCTGTTCAGAGAGTATTCATGATTCAGTCTTGGAAAGTTGTATGTTTCAAGGAATTTGTCTATTTCTTCTAGGTTTTTCAGTTTATGGCAAATAACTGTAGTAATCTTTCACTCTTTTTATCTGTGGTGGTAGTTGTAGCTTCTCTTTCATTTCTGAAATATCTTGGCCCTCAACCTTGTTTTTTTTCTCTTGATTAGTCTGGCTAGAGGTTTATTCATTTTGTATATCTTTTCAAAGAACCTATTTGGTCTGTTTATCTTTTCTTAGTATGTTTTTGGTCTCTTTCACTTATTCTCATTTTGATCTTTATTATTTCCTTCCTTCTACTAACTTAGGCTTTTGTTTCCTCTTTTTCTAGTTCTTTATAGGTATAAAGTTAGATTGTTTATTTGGGATTTTTCTTGTTTGTTGAGGTACACCTGCATCGCTATGAACTTCCCTCTTAGAATTGCTTATGCTGTATCCCATACACTTAAGAAAGCAGTGTTTCCATTTTTAGTTGTGTCAAGTTATTTTTTAATTTCCCCTTTGATTTCTTCATTGACCTTTTGGTTGTTTAATAACATATTAGTGTCCATGTGTTTGTGCATTTTCCCCACTTTTTCTTGTTGTAATTGATTTCTAGTTTCATAGAAACTAAAAAAGTGATTAGAATAAGTGACCTTTTTTTAAATCTTAAATTCATTGAGAGTTGTTTTGTGGTGTAATATGCACTCTGTCCTGGAGAATGTCCATATGCACTTGAATAGAATGTGTCTTCTGCTGTTCGGGGATGGAATGTTCTATATATATCTATTAAGTCCATCTGATCTAAAGTATCATTGAAGGCCAATGTTTCCTTATTGATTCTGTCTAGATGATCTCTACATCGAAGTAAGTGGAGTGTTAAAGTCCCTTACTATTCCTTTATTACTCTCAATTTCTCCCTTTATGTCTGTTAACATTTGCTTTTTATATTTAAGATATGTATTATGTTGGGTACATAAATATATAAATGTTATATCGTTTTCTTGGATTGACTCCTTTATCATTATGTACTGCCCTTGTCTTTTGTTACGGTTTTTGTTTTAAACTCTGCTTTGTCTGATAGAAGTATTGCTACTCTAGCTTTCTATTTCCCTTTCCTTGGAATCCCTTATCCGTCTTTTTACTTTGAGTCTGTGTATGTCTGTAAATCTGAAGTGAGTCTCTTGTAGGCAGCATATTGATAGGTTTTGTTTTGATTTTATCCATTTTGCCACTTCATGCCTTTTGATTGGAGCATTTAGTCCATTTATTTTAAAGTAATTATTAAAAGGTATATATTTATTGATATTTTGTTAGTTTTCTGGTTGTTTTTGCAGTTCTTCCTTTCTTCTTTCAATCTCTTCCCTTGGGATTTGACGGTATTTAAAAAAAAATTTAGTGTTTTATTTATTCTTGTGAGAGAGAGAGAGAGAGAGAGAGAGAGAGCGAGCATGAGCAGGGGAGGAGCAGAGAGAAAGAGGGACAGAGAATCCGAAGCAGGCTCCAGGCTCTGAGCTGTCAACACAGAGCCCAACGTGGGGCTCGAACCCACAAACTATGAAATCATGACCTGAGCAGAAGTCGGACGCTCAACCAACTGAGCCACCCAGGCGCCCCTGATGGTATTTTTTAGTGTTATGTTTGGGTTCCTTTCTCTTTATATTTTGTATATCTACTGTAGGTGTTTGGCCTGTGGCTATCATGAGGAATATAGTGATTTACATATGTAACAGTCTATTTTAAGCTGGTAGTTGCTTAAGTTCAAATTCATTTTAATACCCCACATTTTTTTTTTTTTTGAGAGAGTGCAAGCATGGGAGGGGCAGAGACAGAGAGGGACAGAGGATCTGAAGTGGGCTCTGCAATGCCAGCAGTGAGCCAGATGTGAGGCTTGAACTCATGAACTGCAAGATGATGACCTGAGCCAAAGTCAGACAACCAACTGAGCTACCTAGGTGTCCCAATACTCCACATTTTTAATCTCTATACTTTGATGTCTTATTTTACTTCATTTTATTTTGTACATCCCTTAACTATTTATTATTAGAGTTGGTTTTACTTTTTGTCTTTTAACCTTTATACTAACTTTTCAAAGGACTGATATACTGTTTACTATATATTTCATTTTACCATTGAGATTTTTTTATGTATTTTCTAATTTCTAGTTAAGTCTTTTCCTGCTTAAAGAAGACCCTTTAACATTTGTCGTAAAGCTGGTTTGGTTCTCTGGGAAACTCTTTATCTCACCTTAAATTCTGAATGATAATTTTACCAGGTGGAGTATTCTTGGTTTTAAGTTTTCCCTTTCAGCACTTTGAATGTCGTATGCCACTTCTTTCTGGCCTCAAAGTTTCCACTGAAAAATCAGCTGATAGTCTTACAAGGTTTCCCTTATATGCAACTATTTGTTTTTCTCTTGCTGTGTTAAGGTTTTCTCTTTAACTTTTGCTTTTATATTATGTTTTGGTTTGGATCTCTTTGGGTTCTTGAGACTGCTTTCTGGACCCAGATGTTGGTTTCCTTCCCCAGGTTAGCGAACTTTTCACCCATTATTTCTTCAAAAAAAGGTTTTTAGTCCCTTTATCTCTATTCTTCTGCCGGGATCAATATAATGTAAATGTTGATATGCTGGATGTTGTCCCAGAGGTCCAACTAGTCTCATTTTTTAATTCTTTTAGGTCTTCTCACTGGGTAATATCCAATGTTCTCTTTTCCAGATTACTGACCTTTATCATCTAATCTGTAGTTGATTCCCTCTAGCATATTTTTCATATCAGTTATTATGTTCTTCAGCTTTGTGACTTGTTACGTTCTTATACTAACTAAGTCTTTCACTCTGTTCTTCCATTCTTCTCTGGAGTTGTGTGTTGAATGGGCATCTTTATGACCATTACTTTGAATTCTTTATCAGGTAAATTACCTCTGTTTCATTAGAGTTTTGGGGGGCAGGGGTTATATTGTTCTTTGGCTTATAATGTATTCCTCAGTCTCATTATTTTTCTTTTGAACTTTCTGTGTTTGTATCTGTGAACACTTATTATGGAGAACACCCATCTCTCCCAATCTTGAAAGAGTCACCTTGCATTGGAGCATCCCCAGTGTAGGTGCTATCTGTGCCTGGTGGCTTTGACTGAGCAGTCTAAGCTGAATCAGGTGCAGGCTGGAGGGCTCCAGGTGGTGCTCCACCAGGGCCACCCTGGCAGGATAACTGCAGCTGGAGTGGACATGGACCGCAAGGTCCCAGGGTGCTATGAACTGGATCAACCTTGGCAGGACAGCTGGAACTATAACCATGGGCTGGGCTTCTCAGGGCATGTCCCTAAGGCTGCCCTGGAGGGATAGCTGGAACTGAAGCAGAAGTGGGCACTCTGCCTGATGGCTCTTTGATGGGGCCACCCTTGAAGGATGGCTCAAGTGGTGCAGGCCTGAGGCGGTTCTTGGGTGTTCTGTGCTAGGGCTGCCCTGGCAGGATGGCTGGTTTGAGCACAGGCCAGGGGAGGCCCAGAGCATACACTGAGGCCACCTTGGTGGAATGGGTGGTGCAGGCTCAGGGTACTATGAAGGTAGGGGGTTACATAAACAGTAGTGCCTGGTGGCACCTAAAACCTCAGAGTTCCCACACTCTGGTTTATGCTGTAGGGTTGTAAATGGCTTTCCTTCACTTCCAGTGTCGTTGCATTTTAAATGGCAGTGCCTGGGGCAGGTGAGTGTGTGTATACGTCTCTCAGTGATAGCCCTCCCTAGAGCAGATCATCACATCAGGGGTGGTGTTCCCATCATTACCATGTGTCCATCTGTCCTAGCCTACTTTAGGTGGTCCCCCTGTCATTGCTTATGCCAAAGCTGTTCAATGAACCTTTGGTTCTTCTTCAGTAGAAATTGCTCTACATTTAATTGTAGATGTGGTGTGTCCATAGGAGGAAGTGAGTTCTGAGACTTCGTAGGCTTAGAGGACCATCTCCTTTCACCCAATTCAAAAAGGCCAGCAGTACGATTTTTCATCAGTGTACTGGCACATTATAAGACCGTGGCAAACAGTGTGGTGCTGGACCCTGATAAACTAGGTCAGCTACTAGCCAGAGTCTAAGACTCACCCATGTCCCTGACACCCTAGGACACAGGGTTAGTATGTTATCTGAAAAGCTCTCATAAAATTCCTAGTAGTAACTATGTGAGTGTGGGTAAGTTTAATTTTATTGGGTCTTAAATTCTATACAATGGGAATATTCATAAAGACCTGCCAAGTTGAAAAGAAAAAATAGATTTGTGTGTATAAGGGTAGACGATTTGGGGGTCTTGGGAAGGTTCTTTAAATGTTTGTTGAATTTAGCTTATGAATGGAGTTCTACCTGTGTAGAGTTGAGGTCCATACACTTCAGAGCCACACATCTGGATCTGAAGAAGAGCTAGAAAATCTAGGTTGCTGCTGCCTTTGCAGAGTCACAGGCTAAGTCTACAACCTTGCAGGGCAGCTTCAGGTTTTTAGATCTAAGAATTGAAAGTCTGCAGGTGTTAAGATCACAAGTGCCACAATCAGAGGGCTTAATGCTGCCATTAATCATGTTCTCACAACTCCATCAATAGTTTTCTATGTATTCTAGGATTCAAAGCAAACCTATCTTATGCACCTCCTTACAGGAATGGTATAGGGCTGATAACATTAAAATGCTTCTCCAAGTAGGCTGCATTTCAGGACTAACTTTTGAACTCAATAAAAAGTACACTTTGAAGCAATAATGGATGAGAATGGCAGCTCTAATACCCACCATTTTCCCTAATGGACCATTTATTCCCCCCCAAAGTAGTAGAAATGTATCTCAAGGTGAAGCAGTGTCATTTGTACTTGATCTTATTTGGTGTACAAGATCAGATGTGTGTGCAAAAGACACATTCTTTCATGTGCCATAAAATTGACTTTTTAAACTCTCTGTTCTTACCATGGAGGGTCCTATACTAAAGGCAGCAGAGAATGCCTAAAACATCATGTGGGGCCCTACACTTAATCAAATTTCCCTAGGTTTTAAATGATCTTGAATGTTACGTGTATAGGTCTCAAGTTTGCCATACAGTTGACATGCCCACAATTAAATGTAATTTTAAGTGATTTTTCACATTTGCATTTAAGGCAATAAAATCACAAAAATTTATGTGCCATCAGCAGAGTGACTTTTTTACTTACTCATAGGACAGTAATAATTCTGGTAAGCGTCCAAATTCAAAGTTAGCCAACAAGTGCATGTCAGCCATTTCCATTCTTTTTGCAAGACTAAAATGGACATACTTGTTGCTCCTATAAATGTTATAGTAATGTTTTCCCCAATGACTGTGAAAGGACAAGGATAATTAATAGTGCAGAAAGGATGTTTTTGGCATTTCTTTATAAAATCTATCAGTTATTACAGTAGTAGGTGTTTCAATGACATTATGCATTTAAAATCTGGGTCAGTCACTTTTCATCTGTAATATATTTCTCCATGACAGCATCCGAGACTATGCAGACACACGTCTGCTGCAAAATCATTATACCAAGAGAAAATGACTCCGATTTTACTTACATTTAAAAAAATAAAATAACAAATGAAAAAAGTGCTAAGTGAATAAATCATTTACAGTCTAAAAATCAAACATTTCAAGACTTCTAAGGGTTAACAAAATATTTTAAGTGACATAAACTGGATCTCAGAAATCACCCTTGATCTAAACAGAGACTGTTTCAGATTTTAAATAATTTACTTCTAGGACTATACCTTAAGCCATAAAAATCCCCACAGGTGTTATTTCTTTTGTGAATATGTCATGATCAAGCTTTGGTTATAAAATATTGGAGCTGATACACTTCCTTAGCACTCCGTAAAATGGTGTACTGATGTTAAAATGTTATTTTATTTCTGCTAACCTGACAACAGAACTTAAAGTGCAAACACTGAAACGCTCTAAAGCAAAAATACAAATGCACACACAAGAACCCCACCAAGGCTATTCATTAAGGTTTAGAAAATAAATTTTCTTCCCTAATCAGAGTTTTCATTGAGCTACACCTGCAAATATGTTTTGCCAAAGCATTTTGATACTTAGACCCCTTTGAAACCACTTTAATGCAAGGACTAAAGGAAAAGTTCAAAAGAAGACAGGAATAAGAACCCTGTGAACCGGTCCACGCTCCTTTGTGAAGGCAGAAAGAAACAGAAGACCCAGCGAAGATCCACTTTGAAGTCTCTGCTTTGTTCCTCCAGGGTTTCTTGGAGGTTTGGTCCTTGGGATCCAGATAGGATGTGAATTGTGTGGCAGCCCGTGGCTATAATTCAATGTAATAAAATCATGAAGCCGAGAGGGCTGGGACAGTTAAGTGAATGACACTCCGTACAGCATACTTATACAAATGTGATGTTGCTGAAATCCAAGACGATTTTCCACAAACCAGCCAGGATGGTAATCCAAATAGGAGACTGCTGCATCCTGTCGCTCCTCCCACGTTAAGCACATCTGTCTTTGCTACCGTGTTACCTAAAACAAGTAAGTGAGCATTCAGTATCTCAGCCCCAACCAAAAACGGTCCCTTCTACTACCAGACCCGTAAGTCCCTGTCTATGTCATTTGTGCACCGTTGGGCACATTGTTCCTTTATTTGTAACCCACCTCACCAAATCACCTGTTCAAATCCTTTACATTTCTTACTTTCAGGTTGCAAAGAAAACATGCACAAAGACTTGCACAACACGATATTATGTACCTTAGCTTGGTATTTTTTAGCGTTATCAAAACCCCATCAGATTAGGTACATTCATTGCCCATCAAGTTAACTCATGCATGTTGAGCATGCTTTCTTGAAGGCACTAAATTTTTTCAAATGAATGCCAGTTAAGATCCGTGTATGTCAAGATCAAAATGCTACCTTTGTTACTTTTTAATGTAGTTAACTTTTATTTTAAAAAATAGGTTATTTTAGAAAACTGCCATAATGACTGCAAACAGATCTTCATTAAGAAGTTTACGATTTTCTCTACTTTTAAATACTTAGAATAAATCAGTTTCTATAGTTTTATTTGGTAATGTATTTTACAGGTTAGATAATCCATACACAAGCTAGAGGGGAAAAAACCCAAAAGCTTGAGATGTGAACCTGCCTATAACATAAAAAGATACTACTTGATGACAGAGTCATCCTGCCTGGTCTTTAGACCCAATCAATTATTTATTCAAACCTCAGATTTGCTGTCAATTGACATAAAGCCTTTATTTTATACATTTTACAAAAGAGTTGCTCTTTTGCTTGTGCTGGGAATACTAGAGCAAACACACAACAGAAACCTGTCCTCATGGAGTTTATCTAGAATAGGGCTAGCATACTTTTTCTATAAAGGACCAGATAGTAAATACATTCACCTTGGTAGGCCATATAGTCATTGTCACAACTACTTAACTCAGCCTTTATAGCACAAAAGGAGCATAGACAAGACAGCAATGTAAACTAATGGGCACTGTTTTATCCCAATAAAATGTGAGCTGTACACACTGAAGTTAGGATTTCATGTAGTTTTCATGTTATGAATTTTTTTCCCCTTTTGTTTCCAACCACTTAAAAGTGTACAGAGCATTCTTAGCTCACAGACCTTAGGAAAACAGGCCAAGGGCTGGATGTGGCTTGCAAGCCACAGCTTGGTGATTCTTCTTCTAGAGGAAAGGGATGGATGAAGAGACAAAGAAAGGGTATGTCAGAACGTGATATACACTAGGGAGAAAAAAAAGATACTAAGGCCAGGTGGGTAGAAGTCTTGTGATTTCTAGAGGATTGTCACATGAGGAGAATCTGGAGTGGTGAGAGGGAGTCCTGACTACCTAGGGGGAAAAACTTAGGCCTTTCTCCACCTCAGGTACAAAAGTGAGACAAGGGGTGCATGGCTGGACTGTCAAGAGGATCAGTTTGGTAGAAGTGCTGAAAGGCAAAGCCAACAGGACAAAGGATGGAGAGAATGAGGATTCAGGAATTACTCCAGAGTCTTAATCTTGAATACCGGTCTTTTTCTGATGGGGAGGAGTATCACTGCCTGAGCTTCTTCGGCTGCTAAATGTTTAAGTAGCATCTTCTCCCTTCATTTATAGTGAAGAGTGAGTGAACCGTGAATGCCATGACCCAGTGCTTGTCCTGTGATTAACCTCATGAAATGGTGGCTACTGCCACATTAGCTCTTTCTGGATCTAAGTATAGATGGAGGATGTAATTCTCAATGCATCTTATTTAAGGAAGCTTACTTTCCCTGCCCAGCTCATTTTGGAGCCGATCTCAAGTTCAATGACAGGATTCTTTAGCATTTATTTTCCTGTAAAGTTTTCATTTTGCTAACTGTATATGTAAGGTTCATTGTCACTTTGAAATTCGGTGGATACCACACTGCTAACATGCCAATACTAGCTCTACTCCACAGGGATCAGGAAAGACAAGACCTCAGGGGAAAGGAACCATCTCGGCTGGAACTTAAAAGACAACTAGAACTTGAGAAAAGAGAAGTGATGAATGAGGTAGCAGTGGGGGTATGGAAATACATGGTCTATTGGGGGAGTCACATTTAGGGGTTGACCTCAAGATGCTTACACTCTATTTTCTGTTACCCATGGGGATCCATTGATGGTCTCTCACCAAGGAGAAACCTCGGCAAGGAATTTACCCTGGAAACACAGAAAACAGCACTACAGCAAAAACAGAGCAGGTGTGGGGCCCGGTTAAATGACAATCAACGGATGAAGCGCTTTTTAAGAATGGTTTGCCCCATCCCAGACTTACTATACCAGACTATCCAAGGAGTGTGGCTCAAAACAGTGGGTACAAGGACCCCCTAGGATGAGTTTTCTGAAGCTACTGTTACCATTAAATAATTATTATAATAATGCAGCAAAAGAGAATGAAGATGATTCATAGCGGTAGCCTAAGAAACACAGAAAGGTACTGTTCACAGGGTGTTTTCAGGCAGATACCACAAGAACGGGTCATCTTAGATCTTAAGGGTAAGAGATGGTATAGCAGAGAAAGCCTCATTTAACTCTTCTCTCTCATTTTCTAATATGAAATACTAGAAGCATGCAGAGAATGCAAACTTAGAAGAAGTAAATGCAGTAAGAGAATCAGGTAGGATGCTTACCAAGAGCTACCGGAAAAAAAATACATTTGGATCCAGTTAATTCTTTGCTATGGGGGACCCCTCCTATGCGTTTTAAGATTTTTACAACCTGTCTGGCCTCTACCCACAAGATGTCTGAACAACCCCCATTCCCACAACGTGTGGCAACTAAAAATGACCCTTGATGGAAAAACTGCCCCTGTTTGAGAACTGCTCCAAAGGCATAGCTCTTTACCCTTAGATGTTGGAAAAATAAAAACCTTAAACATCTAAAATTTCTTGAAATTCACTACGATTTATTTCCATTTTCAAACATCAAATAGCCCTGGACAGTGGCTGGCTTTGGTGCTGAAACAACATTGTGTGCAATTGTTCGGAGCTTTAACACGAACGACTCCAAATGAAGACGAGGAAAACTGAGGCAGAATGACAGTGAAAGTTGTATTTTTCCACAAGAACTGGTAGGTGAATGCTCTCTGCGAACACCAAAAGCTATCCAGGCACAATAAACTCACTGCCAACCTTTTACACCTGGAACAGACAGCATGGCTTCCTAGGAAACTGCCCCCCTTGTTTTCTGATCTTCATCTAAATCTGTTAATCTCTCAACTTGACTGCTCTCTTCATATTTGCATTTAAATGAAAAATAAAATTCTGACATAGGTCTCTTACTGCAGATCATCTTACTTTTTAGCCTTTCCACGTGTTGATGTTGGTGTGCAGGAACTGTAATCCCTCAACCATTGTAGGACCGCTGTCTCACTTATGGGTAAGGTTAGTATCTATTTTATGAAAAAGAGAATCTCAGGGCACCAAGTTCTTCCCAGAAGCCAGTCACACCTCCACAAATGAATCTGCTCTGTGTTCATAAGAACCATAAAAGACATAAAATGTTTTATGCAGTTCAAGCCACAATGAGTTGGATTAATAAAGGAAACAAAATTTTACTACTTTGAGATTATTCTCAAGTGTCATATCACTAAAAAAAAAAAAAAAAAAAAAGCAGCTAAGTATCATTATGGCTTAGGGAACTGTATTGTGTTTCTACAACTTTTAGAATTTCCAAATAAAATGTCACTACCATTGAGGTTTTAGCTAGAGCAAACTTATATTCCCAGCAGACAGAGCCAAAATGCCCCTGAAGGTCTGCTTCCTGCAAATGCTCTAACTGCACACAAATAGAGAGGGAGCCTCCCCAGCAAGAGACTACTTAGACACATTCTTTTCCGGAACATAGTTGGCTTGTGTTCATGGTCTTGTTTTATATTTACGTATAAGAATCAATACAAGAATAATCTTCCAAATGTTATTTCTTTGTCCACAAGAAATAGGATAAGAAGACATTTTTATCATTGATGGATCTAATATGCTAGCTCCTTGGCAGCTCCAACATTTTTATTCAGGAAGGGAAGGGGGAAAAGGGGCTGAAAAGGGCCAGGGTGGGGGGAAGGATAGTGGAATTATTTTAAGGCAGGGTTTGCTTAGCAAGCACACTTGGGTGTATATAGACTGGAAGTTAATTAGAAATGATGGGGAATGCTAACCTCTTTCGTCCACCAACAAGGGACTCCATGAAGGTCCACTGCTGTGGATATAAAAGCATACACAGGCATACCTCAGAGATACAGCAGGTTCGGCTCCAGACCACCCCAGTCAAGCAAGTATTGCCATAAAGCAAATAGCACAACAAAATGAGTATCACCAGAAAGCATGCCAAATTAATTTTTTGGTTTTCCAGTGCATGTAAGAGTTATGTTTACACTACACTGTAGTCTGTTAAGTGTGCAACATTTGGTCTAAAAAAGCAATGTACCAGCCTTAGTTTAAAAATACTTCATTGCTAAAAAATGCTATCATCTGAGCTTTCAGCCAGTCATAATCTTTTTAACTGTGGAGGGCCTTGCCCTCTGTGTTGATGGCACTGACTAATCAGGGTGGCGGTTGCTAAGGGTTGGGGTGACGTTGGCAGACTCTTCCTTTCATGAATGCTTTCTCTAGAGCACGCCATGCTGTTTGATAGCATTTTACCCACAAAACTTCTTTCAACATGGGAGTCAAGCCTCTAAAACCCTGCCATTGCCTTTCTCAACTAAGTTGATGTCGTATTCTAAGTCTTTTGTTGTTAGGTCAACAATCTTCAGAGCATCTTCGTTAGGAGTAGGTTCCATCTCAAGAAACTACCTTCTTTGCTCCACCCTAAGAAGCACGTCTTCATCTCTTAAGATTTCTCATGACATGGCAGCAATTCAGTCCCATCTTCAGGCTCCATTTCTAGTTCTGTTGCTGTTTCTGCCACATCCACAGTTACTTCCTCCACTGAAGACTTGAACCCCCCAAAGCTGTCCATGTGTGTTAAAAGCAACTTCTTCCAAATTCCTGTTAATTCTGACCTCTTTCCAGGAATGAGAAGTGTTCTTCATGGCATCTACAATGCCCAGATCAATCACAGGAATCACTACCTGTGGCAGCTATAGCCTGATGAAAGTCAAAATAACATCCATTCTGCAGCCCATGGATCAAAGTCATTTTAGCAGGCATGAAAACAACATTAATCTCATTGTCTATCTCCATCAGAGCTCTTGGGTGACGAGGTAGATTGTTCTGAAAGGAATCTTTTTTATAAGCAAGAGGTCTCAATAGTGGGCTTTAAATATTCAGTAAACCAAGTTGTCAACTGATGGACTGTCATCTAGGCTTTGTTCCACTTGTAGAGCAGACAGAGTAGATTGAGCCTAATTCTTAAGGACCCTAGGAGTTTTTGGAATGGTAAATGAGCCCTGTCTGTAGCCTAAAGTTACCAGCTGCATTAGCCCCCTAACAAGACAGTCAACCTGTCTAGGCATTGACTTCTCCTCTCTAGCTATGAAAGTTCTAGATGGCATCTCCTTTCAACAGAAGGCTGTTTGGTCTACAATGAAAATCGGCTGTTTTGAGTAGCCACCTTCATTGTCTTAGCTACAACTTCTAGATAACTTGCTGCTTCACCTTGCACTTGTATGTTATGGAGATGGCTTCTTTGCTAAACCTCATTGACCAACATCTGTTAGCTGCAGACTTTTCTTCTGTACCTTCATAGAATTAAAGAGTTAGGACCTTGGTCAGGATCAGACTTTGGTTTAAGGGAATATTGTGGCTAGATGGAGGTTTTATTCAGACCACTAAAACTGTCTCCATGGAAGGGGTTCACTGCAGTAGTTTTTTTAAATGTCCTTCATGAGTTTTGCCTTTGTATTCACAGTTTGGTTACTTGTGTCAGGCCTCCCGACTAAGCTTAATCACTTCTACCTTCTGACTTACAGTCAGAAACATGTGATTCTTCCCCTCACTGGAACACTTAGAGGCCCATGTAGGGTTATTAATTGGCCCACTTTCAATATCGTTGTGTGTCGGGAAATAAGGAGGGCCAAGGAGAGGAAGAGAGGGGAACTGAACACACAAAGGGGTGCCACCCTAAACTTACAATAGTACCATCAGTGATCACTGAATGAAAGGATTTGAAATACTGTGAGAATTACCAAAATGTGACACAGAGACACCAAGTGAGCCAGTGCTATTGGAAAGCTTGACACGAGGTTGTCACTAATCGTCAATTTGTACAAACAACAACAAACCATAAAACAGTATGTGCAAAGCACAATAAAACGAGATATGCCTTTATCAGGTCATTAAGTCACCTTTATATTACTAACAAAAGTTGACAATTATACTACTGCTGATCTTGTATTTGATGCCAGCTAAAATTTATCTTTATAGTTGTTTATAAAATGTTATCATTGTTCTAAATTTATTCTTTCATTAGAATGACCAATTTTATTACTTTTTTTCAATTTTATTACTTTCTATTCAAAAAAGTTATTGGGACTATGAAGGTAACTGAAAACCGACATGAGCCCTGACTTCACAGGTCTGTTCTTAGAACACTCTAGGTACTAAAAACCTAACTATACCTTTCCATGGAAAGTATAACCATAGTAAATGTTGCAAGATAGAGGAGACATGAATCCTGTCAGTGAAGGATTCTAAAGAAATAATGGTTAAGGAGTAAAGAAGGGAGGGAAGCACATTCCATGAAGAACACCTTTCTCTGCAATTGCAAAGGCACCATGGTAAGAAGTACTAACAGAAGACTGAAACAAACAAACAAACAAAAGAATGATGGGATGTGGCTTGCCAGGTTATTTATTAAGACCCAGATAGGCAGGCAGACTAGCTAGGAATATCTGCATTTCACAAATGTGATTGTGGTCCTCATATGGAGAATGACCTAAAAAGGGAGCATGAGTGGATGTGAGGTATCAACATGAGACACAGTGGGGACAGGACCACTGTTGTAAGGATGGTGACCAATGCTCAAGGAGGGAGGTGGAAATAACAAGCGCAGGGACCAGTAATAGACTGGACATAGAGAGGTAAGGAAGAAGTAAGATTTTGGGCTCAAGAACTGGGTAGACACTGGTAGACTTCTGCAAGTGTGGGGACTAGAAAGCACATCCTTGCGAGAGACGACTCTTGACTTAAATCCAAGTGTTATATAAGTCTTACTCCTCACAGGAAGTATCCCTCCTTGAGCAAATCATCTGGATGTGGAATCTCACCATGCTGTTTGGATATGCTGGCTGTCGACTCTGATTCCTTTATTTTAAAGTGGGCTCCCGAAGAAGCTGCAATGAATTGAGTGACTCATCCAGCAAGTCCCTGCTCCATACGATCTGACATAAAGGGTGATATTAGGCAATGGGCTTTTCAAAAGGCCAAAGTAATGGGATGGGACCAGCCAAGGAGGTTTATCAACATAAAATAGCGTCGCTGGTGGTGCCAGGATAAACTGAAGGGGGGACACCACATAGTTAATAACCTGGGGAAGTTGTAAACGAGAGTTGTGTTTGTCTATACTTGCCTTTGTAGTTTTGACTTTATTGCCACTGCTACAGGACCAACCTGAGTAATCTGGCAGCACTTTACAATCCTCTCCTTCCAAGCAAGGATTCATGTGGCACCACCACTTCTGAATCACGATGGAAGCTGGAAAACAAAGGCCAGTGTTCGTGAAGGTGTTTCTTCCTCCAAACAGGGACGACATGAAGCTCAGATGGATCAGTATACAGATTTCAGACTGTAAATAAGAACCATTTCAACGTAAGTCAATTTAAAGACTGCGTTCAGCCACATGCTCGAGAAAACAGTGAGATCCCAAGCTTTACAACATGCCTGGGTATGGATTTGGCTGGGCTTTTTTTTTTTCTCGCCCATGACCTTAGGCTATTTAACTCCTCTTGGACTCAGCTTCTTCATCTGTAACATGGAGATAAAAATAGAACCTCACCACAGATGTCAAGAAGATAAAGGTAATCCACAGCAAAGTCTTGGCTAACCATGGACCAGTCACTGGGTTGTCAGAAAATCTTAGCTACTGGTGTGGTCAGTACATTTGACGGGCTTTGTTGCCAGTGGCACAGATTAAAAACAGTAAATGTTTCCATCAGAGAGGGGTTCATCTCTCCATGCCAGTCCAGCAAGTGGTGGAATAACTCCTTAAACTCAGCTGGAAGCCAAGTAAAAGTTGGTAAGCCTGGTACTCCCTCACATGCCCACATCCTAGGCTTGTTCTCTCACCTGGGAATTCTCTTTCCTCCTTACCCCATCATCCCTGCTGACATCTACCACTAAGAATTCTCCAGGTGTGGACGCAGACTACGAGAAGTTAAGGAAACTCCATCAACTTGGCCAGGTATTCTCACAGAGTCAAAGGACAAAAGGGAATGTGATTCATATTTAAAGGTGGGCCCAGCCAGAAGGCTGGTACGGATCAGAGATCTAGGGCTGCAGGTAGGGTGTGTGGATTTAGGGAGATGGGGTGGCTGAGCCCTGTTTCTCTCTTGTTTTTAATTTTTAAGTTTGTTTATTTTTGAGAGAGACAGAGACAGTGTGAGTGGAGGAGGGGTGGAGAGAGAGAATCCCAAGCAGGCTCCATGCTGCCACCGCAGAGCCTGATGCAAGGCTGGAACTCATGAAACTGTGAGATCGTAACCTGAGCTGAAAGCAAGAGTCAGACGCTTAACTGACGGAGCCACCCAGGCACACAGAGCTCTGTTTTTCTGTTGAAATAGCAGCACTTAGGTAAAAAAAAAACATACCTCAATGGATGTGACTTTAACCACCACGTCTTGGGAAGTCTGAACTCAATTTCAAGCAAATCTTGAGAATTCCTAATAGCTAGTTTTTACTGAGGGTCAGGCATCCTGCTAAATGTATTTCCTTCATTTTATGGAGAAGAAAAGGCTGAGGCTCAAAGTCACACTGGGCAAACAGCACTGGAACAGAGGCATTCGACCACTGGAGCCCCCTCATCAACCCTTGTTGTATTCATACCCCTCCCTCACACCAGCGAGCTGTAGTAGAAACAATTAGAGGTATACAGGCAGTAACAACAGTAGATAATACAGCAAGCTCATGCATTAAAAACTCTTCTCCTGTCAGGCAACAGCACTATGGCAGGATTAGGGCACAGGACCATTTCATTATCTGCTGAAATGGCCAGACATTGTGTTTACTCTACACGAAACCACCATTCCTTACTCTGGCCCAATACTGTGCTACTATCAGATTAGAGTCCTATTAAAACCAATAATCCCTAAATGAGGCACAATTGTGATCTAGAAACACCATACGTTAGAAGGTGCCAACGCTGAGAAAGGAATATAGCTCTATGGGTTACTTATTTTGGCAGAAATTGCCAATGAACTTGAGTAGACAGAGACAGTCGGGTGAAGTTGGAGAAAGCTGTATGCTCTTCAGTCACAAACATTATAGAAATCTCACCTTAAAACTGGGTGGAGCTTTGTTATTTTCAAAGCCCCTTTCTATACCGTTGCTCTTTTGATTGTCCCAACAACCTTCAGCAGCAGGAAGAAGAGGCAGATGGTTCCGGAAATAAAAACAAGAGCCTTCCACAAAGCGAGTAAAATGAGGGAGGAGGTATGAGAACCTAGGCTTCTTCCTCTTGATCTGCAAGTCTTTCGACTGTACCACAATTTACAATAATAGTTTAGGTTACCATAGGCTACACAGAGTTTGACCAGATTCAATGTGCTGACCAGTCATTCATTATTTTCTGAATACCTCAGGTTGGTCCCAAGTAGATATAAAGATAAATAAGAGATGGTTCCCAACCCTCAATTTGAAAATTCCATCTGCAGGACTGCAAAAGTTATATAAATGTTGACAGAGCTTAGTTATATTTACACAGAGTTACAGCTGAATTTAAAATACTTTTTTTTTTATCTTTAAAACAGTTTTCTTAGGCAGATTCTCTGCCACTCAGCAGTGGCAACCTGACAGGTGTCAGGGCTTCATGGAGGATTCCAAAGAGGCCCAGACAGATGACAAGTGATCTGTGGAAGTGAAGACACTTGGCGCTTTGAGACAGGGAGTGGCCCACCAGAAAGCCAGGAGGAGGTCCATGTGGCTGCAGTGAGGGGTCAGCAGAAAAGCAAAGGACAGTCAGCTGAGCAAGGTGGTCTGAGAAGCAACCTTCAGGGGCTCTTAATGTCAAGTCCAGATTAGACTTGATTTCCCAAGCAGAAGGGAGCTATGGAAAGTTTCTAGTAAGGCGGTTCCACAATCAAGGGAAAACTGTGTGCCCAGGAGAGCTAGTCTGGCAGGTGATAAACCATTGGGGACAAAAAGGAGTCTGAAAGAGACCAAGTGAGGCATAAGTTGAGAAATCTGGGCGTAAATTCCCTACAGAGGAAATAATTTGATTCTTTCTATCTCAACTTCACAGCAGAGAAATACAAGCCCTTATTGGCCTCATGGGGTCCCAAGATAATTCTGATGCCAAATCTAGAAAAGGAGCTTGAGGGGATTTAAAAAAATGCCAATTCTTAACTATAGAAAAGAGTAAAATAGTTTCAGAATACTTTAAAAACGTAAATTTATTTAAATAAAATAACAAAGCATGGAAGATCGAGCTCTTGTGAAATTATTTACCAGTTTTCTTTCATTTAACTGGAAAATGTGATTTTTCTGAAGACAGATTCACAGTAGGTTCCTTAAAATAGACTTTAAATTTCAGGATAGGTTGCTATTTGCTTAAAAAAAATCATTTTCAGGGGCGCCTGGGTGGCGCAGTCGGTTAAGCGTCCGACTTCAGCCAGGTCACGATCTCGCGGTCCGGGAGTTTGAGCCCCGCGTCGGGCTCTGGGCTGATGGCTCGGAGCCTGGAGCCTGTTTCCGATTCTGTGTCTCCCTCTCTCTCTGCCCCTCCCCCATTCATGCTCTGTCTCTCTCTGTCCCAAAAATAAATAAAAAACGTTGAAAAAAAATTTAAAAAAAATCATTTTCATATCTTAGTGAATACGTGGGACCCTACAAGTGTGTTAAAGACTTACTTAACAACAAATACTCTTTCAGAAAGGAAACCTTCATGAGAAGCACCACAGTAGCCACAAGAAAAGTTTCCAGTTCCTTAATGGGTTAAAGACTGACTAAAGAACTCACAGCTAAAGTGAGGACCATTTAAGGGTTTCACCCACCAGTGAATAAGGTGATTAAAAAGTCCAGAAGTCCGGGCATCTGGGTGTCTCAGTGGGTTGAGCATCCAACTTCAGCTCAGGCCATGATCTCACAGCTCATGGCTTCAAGCCCCCTGTCCGGCTATGTGCTGACAGCTCAGAGCCTGGAGCCTACCTGGGATTCTGTGGCTCCCTCTGCCCCTCCCCCTGCTGGTGCTCTGTCTCTGTCTTAAAAACAAACAAACATTAAAAAAAATCTTTAGAAAAAAGCCCAGAAGGTCAAGCTCTGAGTGCGTACTGAGCTCAGCTTTGGGTGGAAACAAAGGACCCAGGAGCAGGATTTTGTTAAAATAACTCTTGAGAACATCTGCCCACTTAACTGAGCCTTGTCTCCAGAGGAAAATAAGTTTGTAGGAGGTATCTATTTTATCCTGTTATAAAATTTCATAATGAGAACGTGTCTTGTCACTTCTATTTTTAAAATAAAATTCTTTAGAAAGCCCCATGCCTTCCTGACTTATGAAAATACAAAACATCCCTATCTTCAAGCTGCCAACCTGTAATGAATTTCTAGTTTTATGTAGAAAGAAGACAAAAAAAACAAAAAACAAAAAAAAAAAAACCCAAAACAAAACAAAAAACCCTGAAGCTCTGCTTTTATGGTAGTGACTAGTGTTTTCTGTAATGCTGTTTTCTAGGTGAAAATATAATGGGACCAATTAGCTATTTCGTTCCTGGTACATTTTCTGTCCTCTCTGTTGCATAAAGTAGATTGAGATTTTTTTTCTATTCCTTGTCCCAATTAAATATTACTCCATGACATAAAACACAGTATGTATTCATATAGCTATTTACATAAACCCACCTTTGAATAAGACTACCAACAAACAGGCTCACTTCTCAGGAGGTGGTCTTCCATTTTTTGTCTTAGTTCAGTTGTATTTACGCCCAGTTAAGCTTTTCTAAAGAAAAGGGCACTTTGACGATGAAACTACAGACAGAAAGGTGAAGAACACATCTTCCTAGAATATGGATGTCTTAAAAATAGAAACGATCACAAAAATATGCTCTGAGTGTCTAATATACTTAGCTACTTTGTTCTTAACATTGTCATTTCAAGATGCTCTTGGCGAATTAACCTTAAAGAAAGGTTTATTAACTTTAAGCCGTTGGTTAACTTTAAAGGTAGGCAGGTGGGAAGACCTGCCAATTTAGATTTGTTATTTCAAGAAAAGAAGCCATTCCAACCTGACCCAGGTAACATGCAAAAAGGCAGTCCTACGAACACGATTTTTTGTTCAAGAACCTTTCACTTGTTCACACACTTCACATATAACAAGGTACTGTTTTTTCCGCAAAGTACACAGAGTACTGACTGAAGCTGTGGATAAATATGTACAGAACGATCTTTTGGGATCTAGGTTTGTCTTCTAAACTACGTGCAAGCTCACACAGTACAACCATGTACAGCAGGGACCTGCCTCTAAGGCAGAGTTACTCGATCGTAGC